CCTTCTAAGCTATTATAATATAAAATGTTACTTTAGGTAAATGAGACCATTTTCAAGTAGATCTGTATATTAAATTATGAACAAGATTCATAAAACTTTTAGAGATGCTTAACATTTTTTAACCAAACATACCTAATAACCTTCTCAAACAATTTTTGAAATGAAATAAATTTAGAGGAATTAAATAGAAGGAAAACTGTTGATAAATTTAATTACATCATACAAAGTGGAGAAAGAATGTTGAAAACCTTGTTTTTAATTACATCCTAAGAAACTCATTGAGGCCTTCCACTACGTACATTTTTATAGCTGATTTAATTTCTGATATGAGATGTTAAGGAAAGGTCATTTTCACAAATCAAAACCATTGCTGGTCAAGACTTGTGTATTAATGACAATTGTATCGCAGGCCACATTCCTTTTACGTAACCTAGAGATGCTAATCTGAGTTGAGACACTAAGTTCTAAAGACAAAAGGCTAATTTTATTGTCTAACTTATTTCCTTTTAAATCATCATCCACTTTTTCTAAAAGTATATTTATCTTATAATATTTACAAAAACTTTCTTTGAAATGTATGAAAAGAAATTTAACTAAACAAAAGTTCATAATGGAGCTTTCTCTTTTTATAAATTTGTATAGTTATTTGGAATAAAAATCCTCCCACATAAATTTTTTTTTTCTACTTTAGATAGGACTACATTTTAGGAGTTGAGCATGAAGTATCGCCAAGTCATTTTAGAATGCACCTTAGTATTTTGAAAAAGGAATAAATATGAATTATTTTACTATGTTAATTAAACTATAACATGACTAAATATCTTAATTATTTCATAGGAAGGTCAATTAAGCATTTTATTATATTTACAATAATGCCTTGTAAAAATAAGTTATACTACTACTATGCCTTTAGAACCACAGGTACCACTAGGTGTGATGCATTTTACTTGATGCCATGTGTCCCGCTCTCTGTAAATAGATGGTGTTAATGCAGAGTGTATGACTGACAAGAGATGTGAAATCCACTGTCTACTTCTTTTTAACATAGAGCAGAAACCATTCATGTGCTAAAATGCATTAGGTGTTGAAAAAAAAGAATTTCTGGTATGATCTTTGTATATAATTAAAAGGTAGGCTTTCTAGTCTTATCATTTTTCTGTATCTAAATATTAAATGTAGAATTTATCAACAAAAATATTCCCAACTGCTATATTTTCTAATTAAACATTCATTCTTTAATATGTAAAAATATATGAAAATTTTATAAAAAGACTGACGATTTAAAATATAAGTATATTAAATCTATATTAAACTGAATAAATATCTAGTTTTATTAGGTGTGTGGTTAAAAACCACTATTAGTACCATTTATGAAAATAACTTGACACCATTATTGACAATCCCCAATTTATATGTTTCATATTGATAGTCAAAAAAAACTGCTATTCATAATTAGCATTATAAACAATTGTAAATAAAGCTTAATTAGGATGCTGTAAACCAGCACATCTCTCCATTTTCTCTGACATTATTTTTTAATCCAGGTTTTCAGGTTTCTTGAATTGACCATAATATATCTCTATGACATAGTCACAGACATAAGATATATGCACTAAAAGAACATAAAGTCATTTATAAGTTGTTGATCATCCTACAGCTAGTATAGAGAATCATTAAGTGGCTATAAACACCATGACCATAAACAGATTTGCATTCTCAGTGAAAAATTGCACAACTGTCCCTTGTGAATCCATTCTGTTTCTAAGACCCAGAAAAGATACTTGGTATATTTCTGGTTTTATCTTTGACCTAAGTCAGGGAAAATTGTTCCTTTCTGTAGCAACTCGATCATTCAGCTTCTGCCATCACCACCTGACAGAAATTCCACAGCTTGTGAAGAGGCATAGAGACCTTGAACATATCGATTTATTTTTAATGCAGTTGGCACTATATTAACTAGACTAGGATTGAGATTTGAGTTATGCTAAGAGACAACTCTCAGCCCAGATTTCTCTTGATGTTGGTTCAGTGACCACTTCAAATGGCTTTCTTACACAGCAGCCTTCCTCAAAATGCCCTGCTTAGGGTTAGTACTTTTCATGAACATTAAAATGGTCCCTTCACTTGGTAACTCTAAAGTGTTTCCTTGCTGAATTAAAAAAGGGGGCTCAAATATATGGTGACAGAAGGAAATTTAATTTTGCGTGGTGAATATGCAATATACAGATGACATATTATTGAATTGTACACTTAAAACCTATATAATTTTATCAACCAATGCCACCCCAATAAATTTAATAAAAAATAAAATAAAGTAAAATAAAATAAAATATATTCAACTAGAATTATCCTCATTAAGCCTACATTTCCATGATTTTCACATAAATATGTTGAGAAATATTAGATGTCTTTTACATTTCATTAACTCCTATAGTTTATTCTTTCACAGTCTTCTGCATCTTTCAAATGGTAACATTAAAATATCACTTTTTAATATAAATTCCTCTTTTATTGTTATACATTAAGCAAATAGCATAAAATACTTACTAAATAAAACTTACTTAAAACAACAATCTATTCACAAAATTTGTTCCATCATATTGATTAATAGGATTTCAGTGTAAAACAGAATTTATTAAATCAATTATGTATAGTATAGTATATTAAAAGCCATATAATTCAAGTCTCTGGAAGCAGCAATTCATAGATGGTTTATAAAGTAGGAAGCAAGGCCTCACTGGCAGTTCATCATTAGAAAACCTAGGTGAGCACCAAAATGTACCTTTTAATAAAATGGAAACTAGACTACCCAAAGACCCGAACTTAACCATAAGCATTCACAACTCTATTTGGTATAAATTTTCTGTTTTATAATTGGTCTCATCGAAAGTAATTGGGATTATGTTGAAATACAGTCATGCCAAATGAGAAGATAGAATAAATGCCTATTAAAGTGAACACCTGTAAGTGACTACTGTCCCAAGACTTCTTATATAACATCCCTTCCATAGCAAATGTCTTCGGTTTTTAGTATGTTTGTATTTTAGTCGTCATTTTAAGCACAATTTTCACAAAATTCATTACTTCTAAGGATGTTTAATTGCATTGTAACAGGTCTTTTAAGCTTAAATTATAAAAAAAAAAAAGTCTTAGCTTTAAAGAGGATAATGAGCATTTTGTTTTATAATCCCTATTAGCACAGAAAACTATGTAAGACAATTTCATAAATAATTTTTATATTAGGATGCACATTCTTGAATTCCCATGATCCTTTATCCAATATAATATTGAAATTACATATATTGACATGGAGGCATACATATATTTTACTCAATAAGTTGTTTTGCTTAAAGAAAAGAGCAAAAAATTATAAAGACAAACATAGTTTCATAGAGCAATACTTGAGTAACAGCCTATTTAAGTTACAGATATTTTTTGTTTAATGAAGTACTTAATTAACCTATAATAAATACATATAACACAATGCAATTTCTATTTGAATATTGTGTTATTGATATATTTGCTTCACTAAAGCACAAACATAGCAGAGTAAAACGCTAGTCAGATTTTGTCCTCAGTGGCCTGCTTTATCCATCCAAAACACACACACATACACATACATATATACACACACACGTGGACATAGTCACACAAACACATGGAAACATTTGAACAGACATTCAGAAGCACATACCTGGAATCTATAGGCTTATGGAGCAGGGTTCCCTGCAAAATGTTCTGTATGATAAGCAGTTGTATGAATATAAGGGGATATTTATGACTAAACCTGGGTCAATATATTAGTTATGGGACTGTGCCCTTTACTTGAAGATCCCACGTTAATCTCATTCAGAATGCATCTAATGTGACCAGAAAGAATCTTAGTTGCTGCTGAGATGTCCTGGACCTCTCTCTGCTTCATCTATGTCTTATGATTGCATAAGTAAAACGTGAGACTTGTTTCTTACTGAACAGTTGGCTACAGTAAAAATGGGTTTATCTTTAGCCAAGTTTTATTAATAATTTGTCAATGGAGCCAGAGCTTTTTGTGGTTTTCAGATTATGCTGCTGTAATATAACACCATAATGTATTATTGAGGAGCCTTCATTCCCATTTTGACATCATAACGTATAAGATATGATATGATTGTTCAGGCCAGAAAAAAAAGGAAAGAGAGCAGAATTCATATTTTCCTGAAAAAAATGTTGAAATATTCTTGGCTGTATTCTCAGTTAATTTCTTATACATAACACAATATTTGAGGGCTGAAGAATTTCTCATTAGGAAAAAATGTCAGTTCAAGATATAACAATTCCCCAATGTAATATATAACAACTTATGTGACATTCAAACTCAAATAAATTATAAAAGAATCTTTATGAAACATTCCATATTTGTTTTTAGCAGAGAACATTTCACTAAATGTTATAGAAATATGTAAAGTTAAGAAGCATTTTACTGGTATAAGTAAAAGGTAATGAATAATCAAAATATTAAGGAAAGCAGGTTTTTTTTTTTTATCTTCAGTTATGCAATCCAGTTATCCAGTCGTTTTAGAAAAGTGAGGGCATTTTTAAACGTCCCAAAATAATGTCTGATATAGAAGAGTACACAGAAATACAGTTGACCCTTCAACAACGCAGGGGTTAAGGGTGTTGAATGCCCACAAAGTCAAAAATCTGCACATAACTTCTGACTCCCCAAAAACTTTACTAACAGCATACCATTGACTGGAACACATACCAGTAACATAAAGTCAGTAACACATATTTTATATGTTATGTGCATTATATACTATAGTCTTACAACAAAGTAAGCTAGAGAAAAGAAAATGTTATTAAGAAAATCATAAGGAAGATACATTTACAGTACTGCATGTGTTTATTGAAAATAATTTGCATATAATTGGACCCATGGTGTTAAAGCATCAATTGTAAAAATGGTGCTTTCTTTTATTGTAGCACGTACCTGCACACAAATTATACATAAATGCACTAACCTGTTTTAGGATCTACGGAGAAGTAAGGTTGTCCTTGGAGAATACTGTAAACCACCCGAGCGCTGTTTCCGTAGGTAGGATCATCTGCATCAGTAGCTGTCACCTGCAGAACAGAGGTACCTGTGTATTCAGGAAAACAAATTTTAGTGTGTGATGGCATTTAACACATGAGTAATTTGTACACAGGAAAAAAACATTATGCTGAAACACTATGGAGAACTATAATACATGTATCCGACCAAATTTAATTCTTAGATGTATCTGTCTGACATATTCCTTGCTTCCTTTCTCTATCAACTATACTAAATCAGAGTCCAAAATAGAACATTTCATCTCAGACATTTTAATATGGCTATGAGCTGATAATATTATTATGGTCTTTCTCTTGCATAATCATGGTTGGGTTGGACTGATCTTCAAGAATCAAATTGGTGCTAACTATGAGGCAAAGTAAAATGTATCATGAGGGTGTATACTGCATGCTACATGAAAACCAGTAGTGAGATGGTTTGTGATTAGTTGGGAAGGTCAGTGAGCTGACAGTAAATTAATAATGGCATCAAAACAGACCACTTAAGTCATTTCCATCATTCATGCCCATTTTATTTCTTACATGGACAATTAATGACTCTTCTAACTGGTTATGGAACTTCAGATTTCATTCCTTTAGCCTCTTATACACACTATCAATATAATTATCTTTCTACATTGGGTATGAGAATATTCTTATCACACTGGATGTTTGAAGATTAAATGTACTTTAAAATGATTTATAAATTTTTAAATACTATATTTGAAGTACTAAATTTTGTAGATGTATTATGCTAGTTTCTTTATGTTTATACCTTTTAAACACTATTTCCATAGTAAGATACATCTATCTCTTATTTCAGGTATTCCCAAATAAAAACTGATCTAAGTGCATCATGACAACCATACATTATGAGCTATACAACTTCATCGTAGAATTATTAGGTAAGAGCTCTCACTTATTCATAGCATATACTTGATGGATCATCTAATAGTGCATACTTGATATTGTATTTTGCCTAACTAGAACAATTTAACCTACTAATTCAGATTATGTATCAAACAAAAAATATTTCCACAATCAAGTTAGCCTATATACAATTCTGCACTTATTTTGATACTTGACTATGGAAGCACTGACAATTTTCAGTCTTTAATTTTAGTTATTACTTCAGTTTTTAGGTACAACACTCTGATTAAGGGCCTAATAGCTGTTCGACTACAAAGTTTTTACTTATACTTTGAAATTCAGACAAACTTTAAGCAAAGGTTGTTCTTTGCCTTCAAGGGATCCTAGAAAACTTAGTAGAATCAGTCCATCAAGTATACTTGACAAATCTTATTAGCAGACCATAAATGTATATGAACTTTTAAAAATATGCTATGACTCTGGCCTGTCACCTGCAGAACAGAGGTACCTGTGTATTCAGGAAAACAAATTTTAGTGTGTATTTTCACATTAGAATTTTCACATTGAGATTATAAGCATAAATATAATTAGTAATCATACATAACTCAGAAAGGGAGAACTGATTCTGTTATGTCTAAAAAAGAATCTCTAATTATGGGTAATAAAATACAATAGCAACATCAAATGCTGGCGAGAATGCTGAGAAACTGGGACACTCATACCACCACTAGTAGAAATGTAAGTTTAATCGATTCTTATAAAATCTAACATACAATTATCATACAACTGAACAAATTGTACTCTCAGGCATTCATACTAAAGTAATGAAAATGTATATTCACATAAAAATTTGCTTACAAATACTCAGAGTAACATTATTCATAGTAGCCCCAAATAAAAATGACCTTGCTGTCTTTCAATGGGAAAATAATAAAGCAAACTGTGGTACACTCATACAATGGAATATTGTTCAACAAGAATAATAAACAGGCTATTAGTATCTGCAACAACTTAAATAAATCTTCAGGGAATTACACCCGGTGGTTGGGGGAAAACAATTCCAAAAGATTATATAATGTGTGATTTTGTTTAACATTTTTGAAATGATTAAATTTTAAAAATGGATAACAGATTAGTAGATGCCAGATGTTAAAAGAGAGGGATGAGTTTGGTTATAAAAAGGCAACATGAGGGTTTGTCGTAGTGTTGAAACTGTCTCGTATTTTGATTATAGTGTTGGGTACATGAACTTACACAGGTGATAAATTGCATAGAACCAAAATATACAAACATATAAATAAAACTAGAGAATTCTAAATAAGATCAGTAGATTTAATCACTTCAATAACCTGATTATGATATTGCTTTATAGTTGTACAATGTTACCAGTGGAAAAAATTGGGTAATAGTATAAGGAATATCTCCATATCATTTCTCACAACTTTGTGTGAATCTATGATCTCAAAATTAAAAGTTGAAAAACAGTGTCTCATTGCTTCAGTGCTAGTCTATTCCTGGAGAACCTCATTTGGCCTTGTATGTGTACCATACATTTTCACACTATAGCACTACATTTTCCGGTTTGATTAAACTTTCCAGAGCTAGTCACATGTAAACTATCTCTTCCACTACTATGCATACTTATTATAGAATACTAAGGACTTTTTCTGTGATGTCATGACACTTGTTCCATACCCAATATTCATCTATCCAATTTGTTCAGAGAATACCAGGAGGTAGATATTTGCCAATAAAAGTTGGTTTAGGAGACATTTTCATTGAAATCTCACTGAAAATAAAACTCAAATCTGTAGTAGCTTCCCAGGTCAGGCTATATAAAAGTGTAAAAAGCTCATAATGTGGATAACATATTATAAAATTATATCAGTCAAATCTTGGATCTGATGGGGAAAATGCTGATAGTACTGGGCATACAGGGATTACTAGGACTCAGGAAAAAAAAAAAAAAACAGTATAGAAAGCTGTAAAACAATGACCATTAAAAAACACACTTATAAAATCCTAAGGTTTGGAAATTGCTTTGGCTTTACAACAGTGATTTACATCTAAATAGTTTTCAATGTCTTAAAATAGTCCCCAAGCAACCATTCCAAGGAGAAAGCTGAGAAAGACAAACAGCGCAGGATCTCACCTCATTTACAGTGACAGGCAGGATCACCACATGAAGGAGGTGTCTTGATGTGTCTATAAGGTCCAGCCTTGTTAAGTGAAAGTTGAGAAGCATGAATTGAGTGACAAGTAAAATAAAGAGCAAGGAGAAAAGGAGAACGGAAAGAAAAGGAGTTTGGCAGTACTGACTAAGTGATGGTTTGAAGCAGCAGAGAGAAGGAACTAGAGCAGGAAAGGGTTTCAGGGGAGGAAAAGAAAATACAATAGTTCTCTACCATGGCCAGAAAGTACAGTCGTTAACAGCTGCACACATCTCTGTGCTGTAGTTCTCACAGATATTGGGCAATTCTATTTGAGTGTGTGAAACGAGAAACAGCAAATTCCCTCTATCACAGAACTTTGGTGGCATCTGAAGGTAGCAAGCTGCCACTTTGAGTACACAGATTGCTGGCTAAAGGGAGCAGAGGCGTATGCACCACGCAGCCCAACAAAAAGTCATCTTGACCCTGAATACAGAAGCAGAGAGAGAAATGGCCAGTATGGAAATAAAGCCCTTGCTCACCTATTCAAGAATTTCTTACCAAGGAGAATTGCTAAGGGAGTTTCAGGCCAAAAGCAAAACATACACTTTCTAATTTATCTGAAGTATATGTGGGAAAATTGTAAGAACCCTTGATGCTTTTGGAAGTTCTTTTACATTAGAGAAAAAAGGCTTTTCATGGACATGGACTATAGACTAGTGGTTACCAAAGGATAGGAAGAGGGGGAGGAGCGGGGAGGTAGATAGGGTAAAGGGGATCAAATATAGGGAGCGTAGGGGGAGAGTAAAGTGAGTAAAGAGGATCCAATATATGGTAGCTGAAGGAAACGACTTTGGGTGGTAAACACACAATAGACTATACAGATGTTAAATTATAATGTACACCTGAAAATTATATAATTATGTTAACCAATGTTACTCCAATAAACTTAATTAAAAAGAAATGAGAACTCTCCAAGATGTATGCTACATGTTGGATTGTTTCCCCTAAAAATTCCCATGTTCAAGTTCTAAACTCCAGAAAGAACCTCAAGGGACAACCCTGTGTGGAAAGAGGCTCACCGCTCTGGAGTAGAGCGGGCCCCTAACCATTATGACCGATATCCTTATAAAAATGGGAAATTTGAAGATAGGCACAGGCAAACGCACACACCACAAGCCAAGGTACATCAAAGATTGACAGAAAACCACCAGAAGAGGAGACTGGAGAGGCCTGGACCAGATCTTCCCCAGTGCTTTAAGTGGGAGCACAGCCCTGCTGACACACTGACTTCAGACTTCTAGCTTCAGAAACTCTGAGACAGTAAGTGTCTGTTGTTTAAGCAATCCCAGTGTTGGTAACTTAGTACAGCAGCCCCAGCAAACTAGTACAGTGTGGTACAGTTGCAGTGGGAAGAAATGACATTTATTCTCAGAATTTACAGTTGTTCTTTAACTGAATCTTGGCCAGAGCCTGAAGTTACAAGTCAAGAAAAAAATTATGGATAATTTCCTATACTATTTGATTCCAGATACATCATAAATGGGATCAAATCAGAAGTTAATCTCACAGTAGAAAAATTTAAATAGGTAAAATTTAACAGTATTTGATTTTTAAAAAAATATTAGGCACTATTTGTGACCTACCTATTGGTATTTTTAAGTATATTAATGAGTTATATTAATCATTTTAGTGAGAATTTTTATTTCTCGTTAAAAGTTTAAGTGCAAAAAATCATCAACATTTATATATCTATATTTGAGAAAAGTATCTCACATTAGACCATTCAATTGATTATTCACTAAATGTCTTAATAGCATATGTAGTAGAAAAGAGAAAATTATTATCCTCTACTGTGCTAGATTTATAAATAAAAAAAACATACAGTAATGCCTAAAAATTAATTATTCTACCAGATTATTAAAACGAGAATCTAATTTTCTCTGAAAAGTATAGAGATTTAGTCAATAGATATTAAAACAACAGCCCCTTCCCTACATAACTGGTTTTTAGCAAAGAAAACTTTTAAA